ACACTCCTCTGTCAAGCCATCCAGGCCTACGCTCTTGTGTGCCAAGCCCTTGGCATTCCGATTGGAGACTGGCGACTCCAGACTGGGTGTGGTAAGCTAGCATCCCATCCAAATGGAAGGCCGCTCTGTTCAAGGGGGCAGGGCAAGGGTTTCTGGGCTCCTCTGAAATCTTAAGACAAATTGTCTGGCAGTGGAGGTGAGGTTGAAATATCACAAATTATGAAGAATGAACTGTAAAAGGATCTTTATTTTTTTCCCCCATCCAGTACCATAGCCAGAAAACAAGAAACCGTTGATGAGCATAAATGGTCTGGAACAGGGGCCGGCAAACTTTTGAGACGGGATGTACCCAAAGAACCGCATGTGGCTTGTGAGCTGCAGTTTGCCGACCCCTGGTCTGGAAACATGAAATACGTGGCAGAAAATGCTCGGCCAGAGGAAGGCCCTATAGCAGGGAATGGCACTCCCAGAGTTGAACAAGGAGGTCGGATTTTCAGAGGTGTAGGTGGCTATCTTTGTGGCTTTGAGCAAATGCAGTCACTGGCCTGTGTAATCAAAACTAGCCTTTGGGAAAGTAATTCACCTCCCAATGGAACTGATAGCACTTGTTCCTTAGCTTGCTCTTCACTTTCAGCCCCTTTAGGTTTTATGTCTCCTGCTCCATTGCATTTTGGCTGACCTGCTGCTGCTAGTGGAAGAAGGGACTACAGATAGGAAGTATAGCATACTAGGAAAGAAGCCCTTTTTCTGAAATGCTGAGAGATTGGGAAGAGCCCAAACAGTGTGGGGAAATCCAATTTCTTTGGAATTACACTTTTGGATTAAGCATTTTGTACTACTTTGTTACCTCATTATTTTTTCCTTCTATCCAACTTAAATCTCTCCTCCTTTTCCTAGTTATACAAAAATTTTAAAACAAGCCAACAAAAATCAGCTTCTTGGAATTGTGTTCCTTTCCTGGTCCTTGGTTTTCTCCATAGGAGTAAACAGAAAATTATAATCCATGCATTTGAGAGTGCTGTGGATGTGAAAAGATTGAAAAATGTCTTTCAGTTACAAGGCCAGGAGGAGGTTTTTATCCTAACAGTATAGGTTGGTTTCACATAAAGTATTATGTATCAGTTTCAATTCTTTAGGTATTGGTCAAACTACTAAGAGACAATGTATTTTTTTCTCCTTGTGATTGACCAGCCTGGATTATGCCTGGAATATCCAAATCCTGATTGAAGTTGAAATTGAATATCGCTTCTCTTGATCCTTGTATGATCCAAGAGCATCCAAATTACCTAACTAAATTTTTGCCTACAATGGCATTTTTTTTTCTAGTCGTACTGCTTTCCTAACTTCTACATTCCTCAGCCTCTCTCTCTCTCTCTCTCTCTCTCTCTCTTTCTCTTTCTCTCTCTCTCTCTCTATCAGTGGGATAAATCATATTTAATTCAGAGAGCTAGTTTACCAGGCGCTTGAGCTCCTGCCTGTTGGATTCAACCTGATCCGAACATTTACAGAGACTCAGATATTCTTAAAATCAGAATCAAATGTTTCTAAGGCAAGTAGGGCTTTCAGAAGGCACCTAGTTCTATTAATAGTTCCAACCCAGTCTCCTGGAGGAACAGGCACACAAATTCTTTTCTTTTTTATTTTCAATATCCCAGAAAATTCATTTCCACAGTCTTATTGGGTCACCCAGGTATTTTAAGTATCTCCCTGTTAGAAATTTCATGTTTTCAAATTACTCCTTGAACAGTTACACTTTTCACTTCTCCTGCAAGTTGGATTTATTTCCTCCTAAGAATGTGCCATGCCCTTTAAAATCAGAACAACTTACATGTCTATCAGTTGAAGATCTTAAAACATCTTGATGGTTGTAGATCACCAAACAATAACTCTGTATTGAATAATGAGTCTAGTCTAGTTCGGATAGCAACCTGAAGTTTAATTTCACTCAAGATGGTCAAAAGAAAGGCAAAGTTCACCAGTCAGTGACCTTGCGCAATAGTTATTAGGAAAGCGGTTGAGCTCATTTCTACAGACGCAACCTCAAGTCTCTCTCCCCCAAACGAGTGGCCGCTTGGCCCTCACTCTAGGAACTAGATGGAAGGTGTGCTCTCCCTCCAGGCCCCTGTGCATGGTGGCTTCTGGCCATTAGCTCCTGGGTCATTGACCTTGTTGTCACGCTCTCTTCTCTTCCCCACGTCAGTGTCCACGGTGCAGTGCCCGAGCTTCAGCCACTATTCCGTGTGCACTAGCAGCTGCCCCGACACATGCTCGGATCTGACGGCCTCTCAGAACTGCGCCATGCCCTGCACGGAGGGCTGTGAGTGTAATGAAGGCTTTGTCCTCAGCACCAGCCAGTGCGTCCCGCTGCACAAGTGCGGCTGTGACTTCGATGGCCACTACTATGCCATGGGGGAGTTCTTCTGGGCCACAGCCAACTGCACAGTGCAGTGCCTATGCGAGGAGGGGGGCGACGTGTACTGCTTCAACAAGACCTGCCGCGGTGGGGAGGTGTGTGCTGTGGAGGACGGCTACCGAGGCTGCTTCCCCAAGCGAGAGACTGTGTGCCTGCTCAGCCAGAACCAGGTGCTGCACACCTTTGACGGGGCTGCCTACGCCTTCCCCTCGGAGTTCTCCTACACGCTGCTCAAGACCTGCCCCGAGCGGCCCGAGTACTTGGAAATTGACATCAACAAGAAGAAGCCCGATGCAGGGCCTGGTTGGCTACGAGGTGTTCGGATCCTGGTGGCCAACCAGGAGGTCAAGATAGGAGGAATCGGGGCTTCAGAAGTCAAGGTAAGACGCCTTCCTGCTGCCCTAGAGAGTTTTCCAGGAGTCATGCAAGTGAAGGAGCCAGATTCTTCAGGTTTGCCTCTCTGCCACTGACCATGAGTAGATTCCAGGAAGGCAATGACTCCAAAATGGGAGCATTTTCTGTCAGCACCAAAAATGAATGCAACGGGTGGGGAAATGGAGTGAAACTGGAATTTCTCAAATTAGATCGTTATACCAGGACTAACTCTCCATTATAGCAATTAACATAGAATGTTTACTATGTGCCAAGCACTATTCTAAGCAGTATCACATTTAATCCTATGAGGTATATATTATTATCCTCATTTTACAGATGGGAAAACTGAAGCACAGAAAGGTTAAGTAACTTCCTCATGGCCACACAGCCATAAAATAAAAGTCGAGCCCAGGCAGCCTAGCTCCAGAGTCTGTGCTCTTTACCCTGTACTCTACTGGTTCTCCTACCTGTAGTTGGGGCTCCATATGGAGTAATGAAAAGGGTGACTGCCATGGTGCCTCCTGCCCCTCTGACCTGGTCTAAAATACCCAGGATCAGGCATCCAAACCCATAGATCATTAGTGCTAGAAGGAATCTAGTGCAACTCCTTGTTTTCACATGAAGGGCCCAAAGGGCTACATTAGGGATGTGGGCTTCCCTAAAGGGCTGAGTTGTAGCAAAGCTGGGAGAAGGGGGTATCCCCCTTCTTCTGATCTAACGTGCAGTTCATAATATCACACGAAGCCGACTTTAGAAAACAAAAGTCAATGCCGTACTGTACACGAACATAATAAAACACACATCCACAAACTGGCAGGGTTCTGTTTCCATTCCCTTTGACTCACCAGCAGAGATTAGTTTATTGAAAGAATAGTAAGAGGTAGATAGGTGGTTGGACAGCTAGATAACTAGCTCTACGCTATATGCCCCCAAGGGGCGGGACAGAGGAAAAGTCAGATTTGAAGGGAAAGGAAGGAGCCAGAAAGGTGGGGGAGAGGGGGCGCTGTCTGTGAAATGGTGTCGGGAAGCAGGAGGACGCAGCACATGTAGGACAACTTCTGCTCGCATTCCAGTTTTGTTTCAGGCTACCTTAGAGTCTAATACATACAGAAATAAACAGCAAATGTGTTGAATCACAGGAGTCTAGAACTAAAGGAACAAATAGGCTCACGAAAAACAGCTGATGTCCGTCTGTGCCGTTTCTTCAAACCGCCAGCTTCTTGACATTCCGCAGAGGGCTAGTCCTGGGGCCAAGCTTTGTCTTTATTCCATAGCCTGGAAAATTGTGGTGGATACTTTGTGTGTAGCTGGAATTGATGATACTGATTTGCTTTTTTCAGTTGAATGGTCAGGAAGTGGAATTACCTTTTTTCCATTCTTCGGGGAAGCTGGAAATTTATCGAAATAAAAACAGCACGACAGTAGAGTCCAGGGGCATTGTGAGCGTCCAATACGCAGACACAGGTCTGCTCTACATCCGGCTCTCCACCGCTTACTTCAATTGCACCGGGGGCTTGTGTGGCTTCTTCAATGCTAATGCCAGTGATGAGTTCTGTCTCCCCAATGGCAAGTGCACAGACAACCTGGCAGTGTTCCTGGAAAGCTGGACAACTTTCGAGGAGATCTGCAATGGGGAGTGTGGGGACCTACTGAAGGCCTGCAACAATGACTCAGAGCTGCTCAAATTTTATCGGAGCCGCTCCAGGTGTGGCATCATCAATGACCCCTCCAACAGCTCCTTTCTAGAGTGCCATGGGGTGGTCAATGTCACTGCCTACTACCGCACCTGCCTTTTTCGCCTGTGCCAGAGCGGAGGCAACGAGTCAGAACTTTGTGACTCTGTGGCTCGGTATGCAAGTGCTTGCAAGAATGCCGATGTGGAGGTGGGCCCCTGGAGAACTTATGACTTCTGCCGTAAGTGGGGCTACATGATGGGGGTGGGCAACTGGGTGGTGATGGAATAGATGAGACACTGGATCTTCTTTCTCAGGACTTCTCTTCCTGCTGGAATTGAGCTCAAGGACAATGTAATTCCTGTGTACACCTTCCCTAGTCTGATGTGTCTTCTAGAAGGACCATCACCCTAAACCAAACTGTTTCTCACCTTTATTTTGTTTCTAGTTACACAATATCTCTTCACTGTAGAACAATTAGCCATCCTTTTGACTGGCTGTTTTATCTAACACACGTTGTATCAAAAAACTAGAACTCTTTGTGTTGACTCTCTTGGTGCCTTTTCTCTTGGCAAAGAAAGGCCCCATTCATTTCAATAGAAGGTGCTCAGGCAGGGTGCCTTTCAGGAAATAGGGCTTTATCACTGCTCCCTGGGGCAAACTTGACAGTGGCTATTAAGAGTCCCATATTGTTGGTTTTTCATTTTGTCCCCAGAGTATCTAACCCCTCTGAATAGGACAGTGGCCATACTAGTAGTAATTAGAATAATTGCTGGGAAGACCTGACCTAGGACCCCTTTGGTTATGCGAGAGGCCACTAGGAGGAGTCATGTGAAGAATAAGAGTGTCTGGGACGATGGGACTCTTGGGTGGAGCAAGGACTGCCCCACTGGACTTGAGCGCCCGTCCCTTTCCCACCAAAAAGATAGGCCCTAAACCAGAACCAATGTCACCATTAAGATTTCATCCTCTACATCTGTTTATCTCTCTTCCATTATTTTATTCCTATCTAAGTTTGTTTATTTTAAAAACCTTTTATTTTGACATAATTTAAAAGTTACAGAAAAGTTGCAGGAATATCTGCATACCTTTTACCCAGATTAACTAATTGTTAGCATTTTGCCCCATTTGCTTTCATTCTCTCTCGCTCCATTTGAAAGTAAGCTGTATACATCATTCCCCTTTGCCCCTAAGTACTTCAGTGTGTATTTCTTTAGAATGAAGATACTCACTTACAGAACTACAGTTAGGAAATTTAACATTGATACAATAACTTAATATCCATATTTCAGTTTTGTCAATTGACTCAATAATGTCCTTTATGGCTTTTTACCTCCCTCAATACAGATCTAGTCTAGGGCCACATGTTGCCTTTAGTTGTCATGTCTCTTTAGTCTCTTTAATCTGGAACCATTTCTTAGCTTTATTTGTCTTTTGCGATTTTTTTTTTTTAAGAATACAGCCTCCTCCTTTTTTCAATAGAATTACCTGTCATTTGGGTTTGATGTTTCCTCAGGATCAGGTTCTGCTGTATATCTCCCACACAGACTCTTGGCATAAGTGATGTGTGTTTTTCTCACAGTATCACATCACGTGAGGGTCCACACCCTGTCCAGCCTTCTCTCATCGGTGATGAGCAGGTCGATACCGTGGTCAGGTCTCGTCAAATGTCTCCACTCTACAGTAACTATGTTTTTTTGTTTTGTTTTGTTTTTTTTCCTCTTGCAACTAATGAGCAATCTGTGGGGAGATATTTTAAGACCATACAAGTATCCTGCATGTCATCAAAACTCCCCTTATCAATTTAGTGCCCACTGATTACTTTTGCTTATATCAATCTTTAGCATGATGACTACAAAGTGATGGTTTCCAGCTACAACACTCCTTCCACTTTTACTAGTCAGCAGATGTCATTCTACAGCAGACAAGAGCCTTCCTTTCTCTTCTTCCTGTCTGCCTTTTATCTACCCTTCCGTCCTTCCTTCCTTCCATTCATCCATCCATCCATTTATCTATTTAAATCATCTATCTAGCTTATCAATATGGATTTCTAATTTTCAATGATTTATATTCCATATTTCATTTGTTAATTATTTTGGTGTCAAAATTGTTACAGATTTGGCCTGTGGGAGCCCCTTCAAGTTGCCACCTGTGTCCTTTTGGCATGCCTCTGTCATTGTCTTACTTTCAGGCATAACAAAATGCTCCACACTCATCTCTCAACCTTCCCCTGTCCCAGACTAGAATCAGCCACTACTCCAAGAAGCCTTGATTCCTTTCGGTGTGGAATGTTTATAGAAACCAAGATCTGGGTGAGGCTTACCCATTAATATTAGAGTATTCTTGCTTTACCTTTAAGCCCTTTCATCAGAAACATCTTAGAGCTAAGAATTAACGTGCGCGCGCGCGCGCGCGCACACACACCACATGTCTTGTTTAAATCTCTGGTTTCTGAGTTTTGGAAGTTTGAGGGTAATGTGGAGCCATCTGGTGGCTGTCATCTCAGAAAAGGGTGGTTTTATCCCCAGTGAACCTTAACTGCACTTGGGAGGGATTCACATCAGGTACTGCGAATCCTAAAGCTGAAATTCTGGGAGCATGCTCTTTTCATAAAGTCACCAAAATGGAGAGAGGCTCCAAGGTTTCTACTGACCATCACATCTAGTAGGGCCTTACACTACCTTCCCAAAGCTTTCTTTTTTTAAATCCACTTCCCTCATATTCCTTTGTGCTATCCCCAGTTTATTGAATGTTATCTCTGTTCCTGCTGCTGCACTCAGCTGTCACAATAGATGTAGTTCATTCCCGGCATGGGATTACTGAGTCTGCCCCATACCAAATCCAGTTTGTTGTCAGGCCATGTCCATGCCATTCTGTTAGACTATAAGCTCCTGCCCAGCAGTAAGTGTTCCTGGGTTGTTTTTTTGTACTGCAGGGAGCATAGTTTGGTGGCATTGTTTGTGTGAAGTAGGTGCAGTGGGATGGTGATGAGTCCCTCTTTTCCTGGTTGCGATAGCTGCTGAGAGTAGCTTCTTACCGTCCCTCATCTGGGCCTGCAGAGCTGAAAGAAGCTCTTGTATGTGCCTTTTTTAGAGAGAGACAGTGGACAGAAGGAGCCACACAGAACATAGCTTCTTTGGGCAGAGAGCCAGGGTTCAAATTTGAGACATCCTCCAGGATGTTGTCTAGGCCTTGCATACGTGGGTCTGGTGGGAAGTACTGGAGCGTGCACCCTTGATTAATCAGGCCTCCAGGTACTAAGGGGTTAATCTGGTCGAGGTCTTGCAGAGTGGACATCAGATTGGGCAACAGTTACAAAGCAGGAACACAGTCTTCTTTGGACTTCGAGAGAAAACCATTGCTTCTGTGTTCAGCTATATTTAACTAGCCCTCTTGTTGGCAGAGCCAGGCTGCCCAATTAAATAATTTCACAGAGGTACCTCAGGGGCCAGGGGAAGTTTATTACTTCATGTCTGTATGTTCCAGACTTTCAGACAAATCCAGACAACACAATAAGTCATAAAGCGAGAGCCATTTAAATAAGTCATGTTATTTGCTATCACCATAAACCTACAGTCAGGGTTATAACATTCATAATTTAGAGAAAAATGTTAAAAATATCTCTGTACAGACTTATTTAATCATTGCTGAGCTAACCTTCAATGCCAAAGCTGTATGGTGGTGTAGTCGATGGGAGTGGAGGTAGTCCTTCAGAGCAGAGAAAAAAATGATTGCTTTCAGTACATTGTGCGGGACTGTGGAGTTGGTACTTGTGGGCAGAGCCATTATTGCCTTGCTATTTAATTCTGTATCATCTTTTGTGTCCTTGGATTCTGAAACACTATTAAGAAGTGGTAGTATGCATCAGAGCTAAACAAAGTTTTAAAGGCAAGATCTGATTCTCCTAGGAGATGGTGGGGACCTTCACAGACTTACACAGACTTGTAGGTAGATTTCTTCTGTGCATCTGAATTCATCCCTGTCCATGTAAATTTTTGACAAACTAAAATAATAAAGAGAATGGGAAGGTTACCCGAAACACCATGGTGAGCAGCATGTGCTGCTATTGTTTTATGTGCTGTGCTTTGTGACTCAGACTTGATCTGAGGAGGGCTCCTGGGCAGCAGTGCAATGTGAAATGGAACTTGAAGGATGGGAGGATGGTCAGGATTTGGCTTTGTGAGGACCATCCCGATGGAGGGAAGAGTGTGAGCAAAGGCGGGAGAGGTGACCATGCACAGAGGGCGGTGAGGAAGTGGAAGGGGCCAGAAGGCAGCAAATCAGAGAAATAAAAGACCAAGGGAAAACCCAATTTGGAGAGTAAAAATACCTAAATAAATTCTATCCATAATAGAAGGAAGTGTGAAGAAAGGCAAGGGCATACTATTTATTGATACACTACTGTGGACTTATTATATTAGCTTGTTAATCCTCAGAACAACTGAGTTAGGTAACTATTATCCTCATTTAACAAAAGAAGAAACTGAAGCTCAGAGATGGTATCCACAGCCCTTATTCTTCCAGGACACTCTCTCCAGGGTCTTTGAGTTGGGAGATCTGGAGTTGAGTCTCTCTCCAGTATTTATTAGCTGGATTAAGTTAAGTCACTGAACTTCAGTTTCCTCATCTATAAGACAGGGATAATAAGACTTTCCTTACATGCCAGGTTGTCGAGAAAAGTTACACTAAAATGTTTAGAACAGTGCCTGGCAAGTAGTGGGAGCTCAGTACAGGCTCACCACAGGTTTTGGAATCTTCTACATGGAAAGAAAGCTAAGTGCACAGAGGAGTATTGTTGAGGGGTGCACTGAGCCTTGGGTCACCCCCAATGAGGATGACATAGCATTCCTCAAGCTCATTGTGCTGTACAAATTAGAGTGCACACTCAGCACTCACATTCACACACATGCATACATACACACGAGCATGCTAATGAGTGCACCCACACTTTGTCTCTGACCTCTGTCCCTTTCTCAAGCCTGTCTTCTCCTTGACCACCCTCAGCTCTGGACTGCCCGGAGAACAGCCATTTTGAGGAATGCATGACGTGTACAGAGACCTGTGAGACCCTGGCCCTGGGCCCCATCTGTGTGGACAGCTGCTCTGAGGGTTGTCAGTGCGATGAGGGCTATGCCCTGCAAGGCAGCCAGTGCGTCACCCGGAGTGAGTGTGGCTGCAACTTTGAGGGGCACCAGCTTGCCACCAATGAGACCTTCTGGGTGGACCTGGACTGCCAGATCTTCTGCTATTGCAACGGCACAGACAACAGCGTCCATTGTGAGAGCATCCCCTGCAAAGATGATGAGTACTGCATGGAGGAGGGCGGCCTGTACTACTGCCAGGCCCGCACCGACGCCTCCTGCATTGTCTCGGGCTATGGCCACTACCTGACCTTTGATGGCTACCCCTTTGACTTCCAGACCAGCTGCTCGCTCATCCTGTGCACCACAGGAAACAGGCCAAGCTCAGACACTTTCCCCAAGTTCATCGTCACAGCCAAGAATGAAGACCGGGACCCGTCACTTGCCTTGTGGGTCAAACAGGTGGACGTGACCATGTTTGGCTACAGCATAGTGATTCACAGGGCCTATAAGCACACGGTGCTGGTGAGTAGTCATAGGCTAGACTCCAGGAAGGGAGTCACAGGATGTGAGGACGAGGGTCCTGGGTCAGCCAGCCAGGCTGCAGCTGGATCAGCCTGGTTCAGAATCGAAGGAAAAGCGTAGATAGGAAGTTAGAGCAGAGGGGGGGCCCTGGGAATTTTCTGGTTTTTTTATCTTACCGATAAGGAAACTGAGCCTCAGCGAGAAAAATGATCTGCCCAAGTCACAGGCACCAAATTAGGAACAAAGCCAGCTCTAGAAATGGAACCTTTCATATTGTAGCAGAGTATTTTGGAAAGAGCACAGGCCTAGATTTGAATCCCAGCTTGGCTACTGCTCTGCGGCCTTGGGCAGTTACTCCATCTGTCAAAGAGAACACATGCCCAGCATGGATTAAGCATCTATCACTGGTACTATTTTCTAATCCACCTCCTTCCCTTTTTGGGAGGGATCAGAATGACATTGCCTGATTTGACCTCTTTGCCCCTCTTCTAGTCTCCCTGTTGACTCTCAGAGGACTCAGGAGTTCAAGAATCTGGCAAGCATTTGGAGCGCTTAGAGGCTCTCCTACAATCTCTCTATTCTGGCCTCGGGTCCCTTGTCCTACCCTTCCCACCTTTGCACTCCCTTGACCATGAAGAAAGGAGCGAGTTGTATTTAAGGAGTTTTGTACATTTCTGGTTCGGCCTAAGGACATCGGACCAGCAGCAGGTCCAGCTACTCTTTCTGAGCCTAAGGTGGATACAAATAAGCCAGCCAACAGCCTCTGGCTTAGCACTTTGGAGGAGCTTGTTTAGGGCGTTAGTCTTTCTGCATTGTCCTCACTGGGCTGTGGCATAATTTATCTCTAAGGGGACGCCTTTCCACCTTGTATACATCCTCTTTAAAATTCTGATCTGCTGTTGAAGAGTTCCCTGGGCAGCTCTACTGAGTTCTTTCTTCCTTAGGCTCTTAGGATTTCCTAAGCTCTGGCAAAGAGAGCTTTCTAAGTTTCCTAAACTGTCTTCCCTTGCACATTTATTGGAAAATGGGCCTTCTTAGCATCTAAGGTAGAGGTCTCACTATGTGCATTCTTCACTTTCGTGGATATTATGCCTAAACCCCTGTTTTCCTCTGTGCTTCATTTCAGTTGGTACTATATCTACTGTTGCATTAATCATACTGTATTTTTGTGTGATGTTCACGTCTAGCTCACTCAGTCCTAATTGTGGGCTTCTTAGGGAAGGAACCATACCTAATTCATCTTTATGTTGAATAAATATGCAGTGCTCTGCATGTAATGGCACTCAAAACATTTGTTAAGTGAGTGAATGAGATGACATAATAACCCCTTTCTTCCAAGGTTCCTTTCCTATGACTTTCATTTTACTGCTGATCACTTTTGCAGCAATCTGGGAGTTTAAATTACCACTGAGGCAAATTAGGTATATATCAGATTCTTTGCTTTTAGCCACGTAGAGTCTCCAAGAGATGTCTGCCCATTATAATAACTTCCCTGTACTCCATTTTCATCATATGTGTTAAAAAAACATATCGATCATTTTGTCCATGTGGCTTGCATCATGTCTGTCCTTTTCTCCTGTCTGATGTCTCCCTACTCTTAGATATATTCATTTTTATGCAGTTCCTTATTGCCTTGACATTCAACAGTCTCCCACCTTTCTACCTTTCAGGTTCTTTTCTTCTTTTAAAATACAATCTGTTCATAGGTCCTGACCCATCCAATGTATTATGAAATCATATTTTCTGCCTTGTGTTACATGCTTTCGGCACTTAGGTAGATAGACATCTGGGGCTACACATGTTGTTTCTGACCCAGTTATTTTCACCGATAGGCCATTGGATCTTTATGGGCATTTATCCTTGTTCAATGCTATTCCTTCTCTCCTTCGTGATAGCTATTCCCCACTCCCACTGCGTGTTTCACCTCTCTCCCTTTGCGTTAAGGCTAAGGACTAAATGGGTCAGCTCACTTTCCAGGTGTGTGTCCTGCTTTAATCTCATGCAGTGAACTCATGACTGAAGTCAAGAGTCATGGGAACCACACTGCTGACATCTTCCTCCCATAAAGAGATGGGAAGGGAAGGGTGGCTAAGTTTCTTAGGGCTGCCCTCACAAAGTATCACAGACTAGGTGACTGAAAACAACAGAAACTTATTCTTTCCCAGTTCTGGAGGCTAGGAGTCCAAAATTAATGTGTCAGCAAGGCCATGCGCCCGCTGAGGCTCTAGGGAAGAACTTGTTTCAGGCCTCTTTCCTAGTTTCTGGTGGTTGTAGAGAATCCTTGGCTGTGGTAACATAAGTCCAGACTCTGCCTCCATCTTTACATGCATGGCCTTTTTGCCTCTGCGGCTCCTGTTTCTCTGTGCCAAATCTCTCCTTTTAAGGACACTAGTCATTGGATTTAAGACCCGCCCTAATGTAGTATGATTTTATCATAGCTTGATTACATTTGCAAAGACCTTATTTCCAAATAGGCTCACATTCACGGGTACTGGGGGTTAAGACTTCAACATTTCTCTTTGGGGATACAAGTCAACCAACAACAGGGGGTAATTAGAGAGTAATGAGCATCAAGGAGGAATTGACTAAGGGGTGGGGGACTCCTTGCCAGTGCTCAACTTTCTAAGTCACCCTAATATCCTGAGTGCCCAAGCTGGGAACGTAGGTTTCAGATCTCTGACAGGAAGGCCAAGTTTAGGATGCACTGAAGGTTCTTTTCTTTTGGGGCCTGGGGGATAGATTTACCATTTACTTTGAATTATTAATATGCATTACGGGATCTGCTTGTTGAATGATTTGCATGTGTTTTTCCATGATGTTATCATTAGTCACCATCTCTCCCTGAGAGAAGAATAATGGCCACCATGATGACAGTGTGCAATGAAGTGCCAGACAAAATCGTGCAGAGCCCTGGGTCATTGCTGGTGCTTCAGAAATGGAGGTGACATAGAAGTGATTCCTTGGGACACAGGGTCCCTCTATGACTCTGACCTTTCCCTGCATTAAGCAGTAGTGGAGGGCATAGGAAAATACATTCATCCAAGAAAAACTAGAAATAAATATGTTATCTATAAACCAGACAGGGTTATGGGTCTGAGCAACAGGTGAGCCACTCTCAGGACACTGCAGCAGCCCACATCTCGCTATCTGTAGCCAGAGCTCAATAGAGATGGCCTGTCTCTCTCTCTCCATCTCCCCCAGCCTTCAGCACAGCCAAGTCCATCATGGTCCAGGCCAGGGGGACGGTTTTGAGGATACTCACAGCCGATGTCTTGATCACTCATTGCCAAATCTGTGACCATCAGAGAAGAGTGGGGTTTTGAACATCACTCTAGCTCTAATTCGTTTGATGAGCTTATATTGATGCCTATTCTATGCCAAGCCCTGATGGTAAAAAATGAATCAAACATGTCATAAGAGAATTCAGGGTCTAATGGGAGAGACAGATATGTTCTCAGGGAATATAGATGTCATGTGAAGTGCGACAAAAATCTGACACATGGAGGGTTATGGGAGTACAGGAGAGGGGTTACCTAAGCCAGTGGAGGGCTTCAGAAGGTGCTTTCTGGAAAAGAAGACCCAGAGCTGAGCCTTGGGCCAGGCCCAGAATGAGGTAAGGGCTTTCTAAGAAAAGGAAGTATCAATGAAGACCTAGAGGGGAAGCAAAGTGTGGGGTATGAGGGCACCTCGGAATAGCTCAACAGGCTGTGGAAGCAGACCAGGGCCACTTGTTTAAAGGAAAGCTCTTGTCTAAAAGTAAACATGTCATCTTATTTCCAACACTTAAATATTTGAAATGTGTTTCCCCATGCTCATCCCCATGTCCTTATCTCTTCCTCCTCCATGCCTTTCTTCTCCATCTATCAGGCTGTGCTTCCATACCAACCTCTTCCTTTCTTGCTTCCTGTCCCTCTGTTTCCTCTTTGTCTCCATTTCTCACTCACAGAGAGGCAGGGCAGTGATGTCAGGATGGAAGTGACATTTATGGAGCTTCAGAGCCTGCCTGTCTGAGTCAGAGGGCATTTCTTTCCCAGGGTTCTCCTGGACAATGACAGCATCTACAAGCCCTTAGCATCAATCCCATTATATTGCCTCCCCAAGCTGTTGCCTCCTGCTTGACACCCAATAGCCAAGATTATAGAACACAGCAAAACTTAGGCAAGAAGCAAGCCTACCAGGAGCCTTTGGGTGCAAAGATTTAGTGTACTAGTGTGAGTCTTCAAGGCAGGCAGGAGTCCCCACAGCCTGAATTTCTCTCAGTGAGCTTCCATATCTGTGTTCTGTGTTCACACAGTAGTCACTTTATCTCTGGGCCTCCTGTTGAGAAAGTTGTACTCATCAGGCATGATCTCCCTTCTCTTTCCACTCTTCTGTACCCTGTCACTGAAATAACCTGTCACAGCGTCCTCCTTTTCAGGCACCATGCCCATTTATTATCCCCTGTCCCTCCTGTGTCTTTAACCCATAAACACGTTCATTCTAAAACAAACCTTGACCCGGATCCTACACTAGCTTCTATCCAATCTCTCCTCCCCTTTCTATCTAAACACCTGGAGAAAGCCATGTCTGCTTCCATAGCTCCTATTTGCTGTTTAACATCTGCAATCTGACTTCTGGCCTCATTACTTAGCTGAGGTTCTCTTATTAATGTCACTGATGACTCCTTTTTTGCAAAATAATGGATATTTTTCAGGCTTTTTCTCATGGGCCTCTCTGATATGTGTGACATTGCACACAAGGCCCTCCATGATACAAGCCCTCCCCACCTCTCCGTCTTCATCTCCCACCACTCCCAAGGTCACATTTTATGCTCCTGTGGCATTAAATTGCTGTAATTCTTTATATTTACCAGGTTTTTTTCTTTCTTCTGTCTTCTTGCCCTTTTCTTGGGATTCTCTTTTCTTTGATTTCATTCCTTCTTGACTGGTCAATACCTACTCGTCCTTTAGAACCTGGTGTGGGCATCATCTTCTGCAGGCATCCCAATTCTGTCCCCAGGCTGAGTCTGATGCCTATGCATCTATTTAACTCTGTTGTTGCTTTGATCAGATGATATTACTATCATCTGTTTATGTACTTGTCACTCCACATGGCTGTGAGCTCCTAGGCAAAGTGTCCTGTGCTTTATTCCAGCATTTAGTACAGTGCCTGGTGCACAGGAATGCCAAATTGATATCTGCTGGATGAATGAATGAATTTTGCCTAGAAAAATACTCATAGAAGAGGAGATAGTTGAGTTGAAATTTAAAGGGTGAGTATTGCCCCATAGGGGGCATAAGGGAAGTGAATCATTGTCTGAGATGAGTATTCTTGGGACAGTGAAGGAAGTACCAGTGGAAGAGAGTTCAACAAGGATGTGCTCTGAGCTGGAGACCAGCTTCAGTATGGGCCACTGGAAACACTGGCACACGACCAACACACAGAGTTGGTCCCCTGTATTGGTCAGTCATTGACCGAGGGCTTCCCTTAGGTTGGGGAGAGGTGGTCATAACCTCCTGGGTCAAGTGACTGCCGTGGACCCAAGGCCAACTATAAGTTATCATTAGCCCATAGTCACAGTGGCTGACGATGGGGACCCCAGGCAGGACATGGATCGCACCACCACTCTTGCAGCAAAGGAAATGGCAGGGCGATAGGATGCAACTTGGTTCATTTGGGGACCTGCAAAGTGTTGGATATGGCTGGAGTGGAGGAAGTAAGTGGATTGGGTCTGAGAGGCAGAAGCCAGCTCCTGGAGAACCTGTGCGGTGTGCTAAGCATATCGGACATTTTATTCAAGCCATGGAGAGTGTTTTAAGTATTGGGTTAACTGCTTTCATTTGCATTAAGAAATATTGGAGTGGCACTGTGAGTGAATGGAGGGGAGAAGCAGTACTGGAGCAGGGAGACCAGTTAGAAGGGCATTCAGTAGTCAAGGTAAAAGGTGATGACAGTCTGAATGAAAGCAGTGCAGTGGAGATGGGGGAGGGGTGTCAGACAGGAGAGAGATTAGGAAGTCAGGAGTGAAGGTATTTCTAGTCAGAGAGCAATCTCAGAATATCCCATAGGAGTAGTACCTACTTTTCCCATGAGGAAGGACCAGCTCTCCTCTTAGCCCTTAAAGCCATCTGTTTTCCATCATGCACTCACCCAGCCATGGGTTATAGGATTTGGCTCATCTGAATCAAAATGGTACAAGGCGAGTGCAGTTCTGGAGTTATACATTAAGGGGCTTCCTTGTTTTCTGAATTAAAAAAAATATATGGGAGGAAACATGTGTCAAGTGCCATCTCTGTGTGAGGTATTGTGCTGGGTGCCCAGCAGGTAGCCAGGGGAATGTGAATATAAAGATCAATAAAGTGTGGGTCTTGCCCTCAAGGTGCTCATAATCTTGTAGGTGAGATAGAAATGTAGACAACCAATCATAATATAAAGCAGATTGTGATGTGTGCTTCAATAGCAGTGTACATACACTTGATCTTGGCTGAAGGTGGAGAAGAATACAAGAGAAGTACAAATAACATATTCTGGTTGCCCAAAAGAGGGGATGATTAATTCTGACTACAGGCTCAGATAATCTCGCTTAATAGAAGATGAGACATTTGAGCAGGCTCTGGAGGATGAGAGGGATGTTGATGGATGAAGAATGGCATCCTAGCAGAGGGAACAGCAAAGAAAGTCATATGTTATAATAATTTGGGGCTTGCTTAAAATAAATCCACATTAGAGCTGGAAATAGAAAACACAGGAATTCTAGGTTTGGGTAGTTTAATCTAAACTTTCAGTGAATTATTATTACCCTCTTATTAACTTGCAGGAAATAATTTGAACTCCTCGGGGAAATAATGCTATGTAAACAGAAGACTCTGAAATAAATAGGCATATTAGTGTACAAAAGATAGTCATTTAAGTCTGTTCAAATCCTAATAATAGTAGTTGACTGACATAAACAACACTAACTGCAAAGATTGTATTCAACCTGCTCAATCCCCTCTCTGGGATTCCCTCTTAAAGACTAATCATTAGAAAAAAAGCTGGCAGATCTCTGGAATTTCTCTACTTCAACCCTCTTTCTCTTGCAGGTCAACAATGAACGGCTATATCTACCCTTGAAGTTGGGACAAGGGAAGATAAATATCTTTTCCTTTGGCTTCCATGTGGTGGTGGAAACTGATTTTGGCCTGAAGGTTGTGTATGACTGGAAGACCTTCCTGTCGATCACAGTCCCTCGGAACATGCAGAACAGCACCTATGGCCTGTGCGGCCGCTATAATGGCAACCCCGATGATGATCTGGAGATGCCCATGGGTCTTCTTGCATCCAGTATCAATGAATTTGGGCAGAGCTGGGTGAAAAGGGACACGTTCTGCCAGGTTGGCTGTGGGGACCGCTGCCCTTCCTGTGCCAAGGTGGAAGGTTTCTCAAAGGTACAGCAGCTGTGCAGCCTGATCCCCAACCAGAATGCTGGCTTCACCAAGTGTCACAGCAAAGTCAACCCTACCTTCTTCTACAAGAACTGCCTGTTTGACTCTTGCGTCGATGGGGGCGCAGTGCAGACTGCCTGCAGCTGGCTGCAGAACTATGCCAGCACCTGCCAGACTCAGGGGATTGCAGTGACCGGCTGGAGGAATTACACTTCTTGCTGTGAGTCCTTCTTGTTAGCTCACCTTGTGTCTTGATTGGTGTAGTCAGGTCAGCCATCCATCTCCATAGGTGTCAGAGCAATTTAAGGATATGCATTTTGGAATTGAGTTTGTTATCTGAAACAGGATGTATAACCTCCCAGAGCCTCCTTTTCCTTATCTATAAAATGGGATTAATACCACTTATTTCACACATTGCTTTGCAGATGAAATAAGATCATTTATATAAAGCACAGAGCACCATTCATGGCATTTGGACTCAGCAAGTGCACAATAAAATTCTAACAAAGGACTAATGGAGGAAGAGTTGAGTAGGTTGATTGGTTAGTTAGTTATAGAACCTCATGGGCCCATCATTCTACTGGTAATTTGCATGCTTTCTCTAAGTGTGTTATTCTATTTGATCCACATGTGTCATGTATCAGATTTTGAGCTTATGAAACACAGCAAGATGTTAAGAGCGTTAGAAAAAGAATTAGAGTCCCTGGATTTTAGCCTTGCTCTATCCTTAAGGATCAGTGTGACCTTGGAGCATTTCAGTTTTCCTCCCTGGCCCTTAGTTTTCCCCCTGATAGTGCTGTGATGATCTTGCTGTCTACACCATTTATGCTACAGAAACATCAGGAGGATCAAATTAGGTAATTGAAAGTGCAGCACACTCTATGCATGCTAAATGGTATTGTTGTTATATTAATAGCTTGCTGTGAGCCAAGCCCAGTGCTAAACACTTCATCAAAATTATCTCATTTATTCTCCTCCATGACCCACTTAGTTGGGGAGAACCTGAGACTCAGAGGAGTTAGTAACTTGCCTAAGGTTATGCAATCTCAGTTGCAGTTCAGATTTGACCTATAACCACAAAGTTCATGCTCTCGACCCATACACTGTACTGGTGTACTACGTACTGGAATAATTTGCCTGCATTTAGCACATCACAATAGGAAAAGATTGGGAGAAACCACTGTTGGTCTTTGGCCAATCTGCCTTGGTCTGTTTTCCCATCTCAATCTCATTAACTATAGCAAATTTCTTTTTAGGTCTAACTGTATAAAAAGGCTACAAATTGATGCTGAATGCATAGAGCTCTAAATAAGTGATACAGCAGGGGTCCCAGGGAAAAAACTCTATTTGCATTCTGGAAAAGGGACATTTGGATGAAAAACCAGAAGCAGTATTGTAGTTTAATGCTTACACAGTTAGTTTACATTCCACATAATTGGATTCATGTAGATTGTGGAATGAAGTGGGGACAGGGAGGGAAAAGATGCCAACACCATTTCATCCAGGCTCAGTCTGTGAGTGAGGGGTTGGGGTAATGATGCCAGTAAGAGTGACTTTCCAGACTAATTGACCTTTGATGACGTCAGTAAAATAAATACGTCTATAACAAAGTCAGGGTCTGGATAAATCTCCAGAGTTACACTGGATTCATTAGGGTCAGCACAGTGGGGCCAGAGAGCTTTTTTTCCCCCCAAATCAGGAAACAAGGTCGTGGATCCAAGGACCTTGAAATAGCACAATATGGGAAAAGAGTTTGAGAAGTACACTCTGCCTGATTCTTCTTGATACCTACTACAAGGAGTCCCCTCTTTTCCTGCAACCATGCTGTGGTGGCTGAACTGTTCTCTGGGATGGCTGGGATGAGGGGTGGGGCATAGTGTATGTCCAAACCATCGCATCTAGCTGCAGCAAGCAGGGAAATCATAGAGAGTTGTTTTTAGAGGGGGCCAATACCAGGAACACTCACCTTAAATTATGGGTCTCAGTTTTTGTCATTCATGGGAAAGAAAGGGAATTGAGTTAGGAAGCCCCGATAACCCTATAACCTCTGAGGATGAAGGTCTCCCTACCTTTACAGAGCTTGGACCGGACCCATAGGGCTAAAAATGGTGTAGGATGAGGAAATAGTTTTGGAAAGGGAGACTCTTTCATAAAGAATATGAAGACCATTTTTCTTGTCCTCCTGCCTCTCTACCAGCAACCCTTTTCTCTCTCCTCCTCAAAGCTCTAGCCAGACATTGGTTGCCTCCTCTATACATAGTAATGGGGGGCTGTATCCAAGGCACTCAGCGCAGAGACTGCCCTGTCTCACTCTTAGCCTTGGACCCCATCCCTGCAGCTCCTGGATGCCCACAGTACCCATCACAAGAGAGTTATACCTTTCTCTACCTTGACATTTCAGAACAGGGGACAAAGATCTAAAAGAGAGCAACTGAAGAAATGGTGGCAATGACTGGCAAAAAGAAAAGCTAACATAAGAGAAAAATTATCCTTTAAACACGATATGTGGGTAGGAATGGGGGTGGAAACAGGTGGAGGCAGCTTAGTTTTCCATTTTGACGTTCAGAAACAGAGAAAAGCTGTGGGAGACAGAGTCCCAACTCAGCAGCCATTCAATCTGAGAGATCAATGAATGCAGAAAGTCTGTCTTCAGTATAATTGTTTGTAACTGTATTTGATATGACTTTAACCACTGAGATATAAGGGTAGGACTAACGTCCTCTTCTTCCCCCCATTCTACCAAAATTTAATCCAATCCACCATTTACAGGTTAAAATGGTACTTTTCAGGAGAAAAGGGGTTAAACCAGAATTTCCTGTAAAACTTATGCTTCATTGGTAACAGTGTAGAATGCTGGTGTTCCTTAGTATTTCAATGATATTAGCAGTTCCTATCAAAGAAATAATTTATTACTCAATTACCTTATTTTTAAATGCATTGGAAAACTTCTTCACCAAAGTTGAACAAATAGGCTTAGAGGGGGATGAGGAGTTAAATTGTCTTAATTAGTGACCCCTTCTTAAAATTCGTTCAGCCTAGTCTATCATTGTTTCAGAACTTCATGGGGGACTTAAAGTACTAGAGAGTGAAAGTGCAGTAAGAGAAGAAAATAATAAATGCATAATAGTTACTTAGCTCTGACTGTGTGCCAGGCACTATTCTAAGTGCAACATGCGTTCTCACTCCTCACAGTAGCCCTGTAAAGTAGGTACCATTAGTAGTCCCATTTTCTAGAGGAGGAAACTGAAGCTCAGAGAAATGAAGTAACTTTCCCAAGGAAAGTGGCTTGGGTAAGTTGGAAAGTGGCTCCAGAGACAGTGTTCTCCCAAGGTGGAAGGCTGCCTCTCTGACCCTGGTCAGCCAAGGGGCCCTGGGGAGCTGGCGAACCCTCAGGTGCTGGAGGGGGTGTCCAGCTCTGTAGAATCAGGTCTGGGAAGGCACCTTCCAGCCATTGTGAGAAGGAAATGTGATGACGTCTCATAAACCAGGACACCCAGTGCCTGACACTTAATCAATGGTCAGTCAAGGTTGAGTATCATTTTCCCTTTTTTCAGAGTCAGCTTTTGCTACTTCAGGGTGCTGCCTCCAAAGTCTGGTAATTAGGGGTTTTCCTACATAGTTCTCTGCAGATCCAATCAACTCTTGTTGAATAACCTAAATAAATAAATAAATTTTACCACTGCTGCTCCAACAGCTACTACTATTAATAGCAGAAGCTCGTTGAAGTATCAGACACTGTACTAGAAGCTTTGCAAAACTGCATCTCATTTTATCTGAGTAACTATTTGATGAGGGAGAGATGATTATGCCATTTTACAGATGAGGAAAAGAGGTTTAGAGAGAGTAAGTAACCTGCCCAAGGTGGCAGAGCCAGGGCTCAAACCAGGTCAGTCTGACTCCAAAGCCCTTGTCCGTTCCATTGTACTGCGTTGCTCTTCAGGCAATCTGTGCATCCCACCCATCTGGAAACAAAGTCTAAATCAGCCCACTGGCCATGGCAAGAGACACATTTGTGACCATGATAGAAATCCAGGTGTAGAGCCATCATCAGTCACAGCTCTCGTTACTTCATTTGGATTGAGAAAATAAATATTAGAAGTTAATATTTAAAGTTTGTCTTCAAGAGTCAAATGTTTATTAACCACCTGCCATGTTCTTAGCACTATTTTGGGTGCCATGGAAGAATCAGAAGTGTAAAATATGAAGTTTATAGTCTAGCTTGGGAGATAGGACCAGCATGCTTGAAACAACAATGGACATTTCTAAATTGGTAGTATATCTTCCCAAATATTAAAATATATTGTAGAGCTTCAGTAATGAAAACAAGTTAATACTGGCCCATGAACAGAAAGACCAACCAGTATAAAGATAAGAAGTCCAGAAATAGGCTAAGGAGAAATTAGTATATAGTAAAGTGGCATTTCAAAGCACTGGGAGGAAATAGCTAAATCCCTCCTTCACTCTTCACTCAAAAATAAAATCCAGGCAGAAGCAAGATTAAGCAAAAATATTTAAGTTATAAAAGGACTAGAAGAAAATAAAGGAGTTTTTGTGTTGTTGTTTTGTTTTGTTTGTTTTGGTTTGGTTTGGTAATCTTAGAGTAGAGAGGGCCTTTCTAAGCAAAACACCCAAAGCCTTGAGGGAAGACCTGATAAACTTGACTAGAATTAGAAATTTCTATATGGCAAAAACATAATAAAAAACAATCAAACAAATGTACTAGAAAAAGCAAAGTCAAAAGACAAATGATAAATATTTTGTAACACATGACAGGTGAAAGTCTACTTTTAATTTATAAAGAGATTTTACAATTTAATAAGACAAAATTTGAGTAACACAAAATGTGTAAAGGACATGAAAAGACGGTTTACAGAAAAAGACATACAAGTGGATTATAACCAAATGAAAAGATAATCAACCTCACAAAAGAATGCAAACTGAATAGGGATATTGCTGATAGGATTGTTTTCAATTTCCTTATTGCGGTAAAATACATATGACAAAACTCACTATCTTAACCATTTTTAAGTATACAATCCAGTGGTATTAAATACATATTGTGCAACTACCGCCACCATCCATCTCCGGCACTCTTTTCATTTTATGAAACTGAAAATCCTTACCCATTAAACAACGGCTCTCCATCCCCACCTTACTGCTCCCCCCCCTCCCCCCACCGGCCCATCAACCACTGTTCTAATTTCTGTCTCTATGGACTTGACTATTTTAGATACTTCATATAAGTGGAATCATACAGTACTTACTTTTTGTTTGTTTTGTTTTGTTTTGTTTTGTTTTGTTTTGTTTTGTTTTTTTAGCTGAGCCATCCTGCCACCTGTTGGCAGCTCAGCAGCAGCTCAGCTCGGCCCTGGCATCGAGCCGCTATTGCTCAGAGCTCAAATCTTTGAGCGAGCTCTTAACCAACTGAGCCACTCAGCTGGCCCAGTACTTACTTTTTGTGGGTAGCTTTTCCACTTAGCATAATGTCCTCAAGTTTCATCCATGTTGTTGCATATTGCAGAATTTCCTTCTTTTTTGAAGCTGCATAATATTCTATTGTATGTATATACCACATTTTGTTTATCCATCGATGGATACTTGGGCTGCTTCTGTGTTTTAGCTATTATGAATAATACTGCTATGAACATGAGTATGTAAATATCTTTTTGAGATAATTCTTTCAAATATTTTGAGCATATACCCAATATATTGCTGGAATTGCTGGATCATATGGTAATTCCATGTTTAATATTTTTAGGAACTTACATAGTGTTTTCCACAGTAACTGTGCCATTTTACTTTTTCCATCAATGATGCACAAGGTTTCCAATTTCTCCACTTGCTATTTCCTGGTTTTTTAATAGTAGCCATTCTAATGGGTGTGAGGTCTCATAGTAGTTTTGATTTGCATTTCTCTGGTGATTAGTGATATTGAGCATATTTTCTTTCATATACCTTCTTTGGAAAAATATCTATTCAAGTCCTTTGCCCATTTTTGAATCAGGTTGTTTGTTTTTTTGTATAGGAGGTCTCTATATATTCTCAATAGTAATATAGCTATCAAATTTAACCTGTCATATTTCCAAGAATCAGAATGTTTGTTGGTAAATAATCAGTGAGGATGTGGAAAAATAAAACTCTTCATATAGCCCTGGTAGGAGGATAAATTGCATAGCCTCTTTAGAGGGCAAATTCAGTTGCATCTATCAAGAATTTAAATGCACCATACCCTTTGACCCAATAATTCCACTTTCAGGAATTTATTGTACACACTCACTTACCATGAGGGCAAAGGTATGTGTACAAGGATGTTCACTGCAGCAGCATCATAAACACATAAAATTGATCATGCAGCAGTCCTAAAACAATAATTCAAAGCTAAATGGTATTGTGTAGAAAATCCCGCATAATAGTAGTTGTGTTTTTCATATACACCTATTAAAATAAGTTTCTGTGAAACTTTGAAGCAAATCTGTCTTTAATGATTAGCTAACATTTACTGAAAACTTAACTGCTAAGCACTGTTCTAAGCACAGAGACTCACATAATCCTTCCCAACAAGGTATGAATGGTGCTGTGGGTATCTACATTTTACAGATTAAGGAGCTGAGAACCAGAGAGGCTAAGTAACTGGTACTGGTCTCTTACATGTGACTCCAGAGCCCATGTCTTCACCAGAACCCTAACTACATTCCAAAAATCATCTGCATGCATTTGAAACCCATAGAACATAGTTGATATGGGTCAGTCTACACACACACACACACACACACACACACACACACACACACACACACACACANACACACACACACACACACACACACACACACACACACACACACACACATACACTCACATGTACACACAACACACAGAGAATGCACATCTGCCTTCTTAGAAATCAAGGAGCTCAGGGGTCTACTGTTTATAAACTACTGGCTTAGAAAAGATTCTGTGGAAGTTCTGAGATGAAGGTGAGTTGTTAGTACTGGTATGAGTGGAGAGTCTATGAATAAGATGGGACTCCACCTGGGACTTGAAGAATGGGGAATTTAGATAGGCTGAGGGGATAAAGAAGGGCATGCATTGAGAGATCAATATATGAGTGAGGACCTTTGGGAGGCTGGGTGAAAAAGGTGAAGGGATTAAGAAGTACAAATTGGTAGTTACAAAATAGTCACAGTGATGTAAAGTGAAGCATAGGGAATCTAGTTAATAATATTATAACACCTATGTATAGCACCAAGTGGGTGCTAGGCTAATGGGGGTGATCACTTTGTAAATTATATAAATGTCTAACCACTAGGCTGTACATCTGCAACTAATATAAAATAATATTGAATGTCAACTGTAATGAAAATTTTTTTAAAAAATATATGAGTGAGGACCTAAAGGCAAGAATGAATGTGGGGTGCCCTGGGCAGCCATCAGGGGACTGCCTAATTGAATTCAAGATGTGTGTTGAGAGGTGGGTTTAAGGTAGCAGGTTAGAGGATCTCAGAAAAACCGGCTGAAGAGGGGACAAAGATTATGTGAGGAACAGTTACCTTTACCTGCTCTTTGGTTCATGATTTAAGCAATAATAAGTCAGAGGCTTTCCATAAGCACAGAGGATATTCATCAGGAAAGGTGGTAAAGCTCACTTCACCCTCCCCCTCCATCCCCACACACACACCCTCCATCTCCCTGAGTGGGTGAGCAGTGGCCTCAGGAAAAGACCACTTGCACTTCTTGTGATTGTACGAGTCTTGACTTGTGTCTTCTGTTTCAGCTGTCACCTGCCCTCCCAACAGCCATTACGAGAGCTGCGTGAGCGTCTGCCAGCCCCGCTGTGCTGCCATCCGCCTGAAGAGCGACTGCAACCACTACTGTGTGGAGGGTTGTCAGTGCGACGCAGGCTACGTCCTCAATGGCAAGAGCTGCATCCTGCCTCACAGTTGTGGCTGCTATTCAGATGGCAAATATTATGAGGTAGGGGAGCTCGGCCCTGCCTCTTCCTCCTTGACAATCAGTAGATTTCTCTCCAATGCCCAGAGGCTAGTCATAGTTGACCCATCTCCCTACTTCATTATGAAGATTGGGATGCTTATTCGCAAGGACGTGGGAGGGCAAAGAGGTTACAAACAGGTCCTTAGAGACTCTTGCTCACTGAGTATTAGATTTGGAAATGCATTTGGGCCTCATTCTCCTCCTTCTTTGGCATCGGCAAGGACTCCGGCACTCTGCCTCTTCTCCTCGCTAGCATCTGTGTTTCTCTCTCTGCCATGCCGCTCTCTAGGTCCTTCTGAATTCCTCTTCTGTTAATCTCAGTTTGAAAGCTTCTGATATGGCTATTGTTTGGAAATATGGTAGCTGTGAATCTGATATTTGTAGCTGTCTTAGCTAAGGACATTTATTAAACGAAAAAAGTGGGGCTTAAGACTGGAAAGAGTGGCTTTCTCTCTTCCGGCTATTGAAGCTCCATGAGAGTCCGTGAAAGAGCCTTAATGCTGTCCCCCCACATCCTACCCTTTGCTTCTCTATATGTAGGGACTGAAGCATAGTTAATGAAGGTGTCTTTGTAGGTGTCACACAGTAAAACATATTAGCTCACTAACTTGTTTACTGTTTGTACTTTGTAAATTTTTTTTTCTTAAAATTTTCTTTTCAGATTTTTTATTAAAAAATATAGCTAACATACAATATTATATCAGTTTCAAGTGTATGTCACAGTTGTTCAATGTTTATATACCTAAAGAAGTGATCACCATGAGTCCAACAACTATCTGACATCATACCACGCTATCACAATATTATTGATTATATTCGCTATTCTGTACATTACATCCCCATGACTGATTTGTTTCCTGCCTGGAAATTTGAACTTCTTATTCTTTTCCACTTTTCCTCCCATTTTTAATTTTTCAATTACAGTTAACAGTTAATATTATTTTGTATTAATTTCGGGTGTACAGGATAGTAGTTAGACATTTATATAATTTAAGAAATGATTAACCCTAACTAGTCTAGTATCCACCTGGCATTATACATTGCTATTACCATATTATTGAGTATGTTTCCGGTGCTTTACTTTACATCCCTATGACTACTTTGTAACAACAAATTTGTACTTCTTAATCCTTTCCAGTTTTTCACCCACCGCCTTAATCCCCTTCCTATCTGGCAACCATCAAAATATTCTCTGTGTCTATGAGTGTGTTTCTGTTTTGTTTGTTTGTTTGTTTATTTGTTTTGTTCTTTAGATTCCACATATAAGTGAAATCACATTGCATCTGCCTTTCTCTGTCTGAAATACTCCACTCAGCACAATACTCTCCAGGTCCATCCGTGTGCCGCAGATGGCAAGAACCCATTCCCTTCCATGGCTAAGGAATATTCCATTGTATATGTTACCAACTCCTCCTTATAAATTCATCCATCGATGTGCATTCAGGCTGCCTCCACATCTTGGCCATTGTAAATAATGCTGCAATGAACATATGGATGCACATGTCCCGTCAAAGTACTGTTTTGGGTTTCTTCAGGTAAATACCCAGAAGTGGGATTACTAAATGCTTCTTTGTCTTGTTTTATAGCCTTTGTCTTAAAGTCTATTTTGTCTGGTGTAAGTATTGCAACCCCAGCTTTTTTTTTTTTTCATTTCCATTTTTATGAAATAATTTTTTCCACCCTTTTACTTTCAATCTGTGTGTGTCTTTCAATTTGAATTGAGTTTTCAGTTATTTCTTCAAATAGGTTTTTAATCCCTTGCTTTCTCTCTTCACCTCCTGGCACCCTGATGATGTGAATGTTGTTATGCTTGATGTTGTCCCAGAGGTCTCTTAAACTATCCTTTTTTTAAAAATTCATTTTTCCTTTTGCTTTTCTGATTGGGTGTTTTCTGCCACCTTGTCTTCAAAATTGATGATTTGATCCTCTGCTTCATCCAGTCTGCTGGTGATCCTTTGTAATGCATTCTTCATTTCAGTTCTTGTATTTTTCACTTCTGACTGTTTTTATCTTTTTATGGTTTCTATGTCTTTTTTTTTTAAGATTTTTATTGGGGAATTATAGCGGATGGGAACAGTGCTGGGGTATTGGGGGAAGGGGAAAAGACAAGTTGCTGTCCTTTTGTTCTTCAATCTAGTTGTGGAGGACATTGCTTCACTAGCCCAACTTGGCACCATCATTGCTCTCTTCGTGGGAAAGGCAGATCAGTCACCAGCTTCTGGACGGCCAATCACTATGGCTGCTGGCCGCTCACGCTGGCTGCTGGCTACACACGGTAGCCCATGGCAACCTACTGCAGCAGGGGCTGCAGTCTACGCCGTCGCCAGCGACTCACGGCATCCCAGCTCGAGGTTGAGCTGTTGTTCAGCATCTTAGCTGTAGAAGGCAGTGTCACTGGCCCTCATATGTGGGATCTGAACCGGGGCCCTCTGGCATCCCAAGCCAGCTCTTGACCAACGTGCCATTCGGCCGGCCCTCTATGTCTTTTTTAATGCTTGCCATCTCTTTGTTGAAGTTCTCAATAAGCCCTTGAGCACCTTATAACCAGTGCTTTCAACTGTGTCTCTGGTAGGTTACTTGCCTCTATTTTATTTAGTTCTTTTTCTGGAGTTTTCTCCTGTTCTTTCATTTGGGGTGTATTTCTTTGATTTCCCATTTTGGCTGCCTTTCTTTGTTTCTATGTATTAGGTAGATATGCTACGTCTCCCAGTGTTGCTGGGTGGCCGTATGTAGCCTACTAAGTTGCCCTGTGTGGCCTAATGGCACAGTCTTCCTGATCAACTGTGCTGGGTGCTCCAGGAGTATTCCTTGTGTGGGTTGTGTGTGTCCTCCTGTTATATTTGAGCCTTGATTGCTGTTGGCATATCAGTGGGTGGTTTTGACCCTCAGGCTGACTGGCTGTGGGGTTTGGCTATATCCACAGCTTACAGGCTGCTGTGAGGGGGTCTTACCACACAGAGTAGGATTCACCGCAGTGGACTCTGGTGCCTGTTGAGACCACCCTTTGGATGTGCCACTAGTGGGGCTAATTAGGTGGTGCTCTGCTGTGGTCTGAAGCCAACTTCCAAGTATGTTGGTTCTGAAGAGTATTGGGAGGGGTTCCAGTGCAGGCCCAGGTCAACCACTGCCTGTGACTATCCAGCAGTACCTGGTAGGAGCTACAAAGTAATCCACATTTGGTCGCTGCCTGTGCTGAAGCTGGAGGCACATGGGAGAGGCCACACTGTGAACCAAGGATAGCTGCCACCTGTACCGGGTCTGGGGTAGCTCAGCAAAAAGCCAGGACACACCCAGGCCTGTTGCCATTTGCCAGCTCCCATAAGGTTCAGCTGATAAAGTTTTGTGCGGTATGGAGTTGGGTGTGGCAGGGTCTCAGCGAGTCACCAGGGTGGAGCAAGCCAAAGCTCACCAGACCAATTCAGATTCAGATTTGGCTGTGTGGGGAGAGGGCTCAGCACAGCAAAGATGGCACCCACCTGCTGATGCAAGGGAGAAGGACCCCACACAGGGGAAATGGTGACTATCTTCTAGCTGACACCTTGAAGCCACACACCTCAGCCTACCCCCTGTATGTCTCCGAGGCCCCCTGAGTCACTGTCCCTCTGCTGGAGGCCAGGATGAGTGCCTGCGAGTGAGTCTGTGTGGGCCCTTTAAGAGGACATCTGAGTTTCCCAAAGCCTTTCATTCCACCCAGATGGTCAGAATCCCCACTGTTTTTCAGAGCCAGATGTGGGGACTTCTCTTTCTGGCACCAGTACTCCAGGCTGGGGAACCTGGGGTCCCTTGCTCCTCCCTGGGGAATCTCTGTGGCTGAGATATCCCTTCTAATTTTCATCTGCCACATGGAGGTTTGGGGCTGGCCCATTTCGAGCCTCTGCCCCTCCTACCAGTCTTAACGTGGCTTCTTCTTTATATACTTATAAAAATTCTGTTCACCTAGACTTCAGATGGTTCTCCAGGTTGATTGTTCTATAATTTAGTTGTAATTTTGATGTGTTCTGTACTTTGTAAATTCTTTATGTGCCGTAATACTCAGCTAGAAAGGTCTTGCCTGGAGAAGGTATTTAGCTTATGGTTCTGCCTCAAGCCCATTCTCTGTTTAAATGACATCAATGCCTTATATTGGTGAGCAGACAATTAACAACAAATATTGAGTATCTGCTATTTGCAGATCATTGTGCTGTGGCATCGTTGGGGATGATAAAGTATGTTCTCTGCCTGAAGGAACTTAAAAATCTATTTTGGAGAGGAAGAAAACATACACTTTAAAGAACATGAGAATAATTACAAAGTAACATATCAACAAGTGAAAAATAATGCCCTACGGAACTAAACATTTTTAAATGAAAAAGAATAGTAGCATTACAAAATTGGATTGAAATCTCTAAATTGGAAATAAACTAGGCGAAAAATAATGTCTCCTTTTTGTAAAGATGCATTGACTTGTTCAAGAACAACTGAGTTGGTTTTGCTCTGAGAATTAATAAAAATTCATAAAAAATAAATAAATTTTGAAGTTACCTTCAATTTCGTTTTCAGTGGGAAATTTCCTTAAATGTTATATTAGAAAGACAGGGGAAAATAGTTACATAGTAGAGCTAATCAAAGAAAACTTCTTGGGAGGGGTCTGTTTTGAAGTTAGCTCTTAAAAATACTGATTATTATAAAGGAAAAATTAGAACATGTGGGAGAAAATAATAATAAATTCAGTTTTCTCACAACCTGGGAGAAGAGATAAGCAGGCTCAAAACTGAAAAAACACTCTTCTCCTCTCTGCTCCCCTGTCTGGAGCCTTACTGAAATGTAGATATCTAGCAAGTGCGTCATGTACCCCCAACAGAGATGCGGGTTGTCTGTGGCATATAGAATGAGACTTGGGTTTTATCCTAGCTAAACTACACAAGTGATGTGACGTTGAACAACCTGTGTCATTTTTCTGAGCTTTAGTTGCTCTGTCTGTGAAATGTGACTAATATACCAAT